TGACGGACGCAAGGGAGGCGAGGGAGGAAGAGGGAGACGCACGAAGAGCAGAGGTCGCTCGTGGGCAAAGTCCGAGGCGCCGGCGTAGACGTCCTGTCGCTTGGAGGGGCTGACGACGCGGTCGAGCTGGCGCTGGCTGAATGCCACGACGCCGCGCGCGTTGTCCTGGGCGGAAGCCTTGACGGTGTCGATGTCGTACGTGGGGGCCATTGCGATGTTTTGCTGATGATGGAGATGAAGGTGGAAAGATGGAGGACGGGATGTAACGGGGGGTGTGGCTTTGCTCTCTCCTTCCCTTTGGGGGAGGAGTTCGGGCGCGCCAGCGGCAATGGTGACGCGCAAGTGCGCCCCGAGTTTGTGCTGCCAATGACGCGACACTGCTGGAATGTAGTCGGTCGGGAATGGGGTTGGGAGAGGGGAGAGGAGACGGCCGTACTTTTTGGCTTGTGACACGACTGAGAAGGCCCTTGCTGGATTTCTTTTGCTACCGATTTGTTATCTTTTCTTTTTGGGGAGGGATTGATTGATGGGGAGGGCTGGCAGGTGAAGTTAACGCGTCGCGCTGCACCGGCACGGTCGCTATCTGCCACGACTGCAGCAATCAGGCCCCGGAAGCTGGTCAATTGAGTTGGATCGCTGTTTTAAATCACGGGCAAAAATAATATCACGGTGGGAAGTTTTCAAACAAATGAGGGGTGAGAAAGCATAGCATTTCATGGTAGAATCGAGCTGGCTGCATTGGTGTTGCTCGCCGGTGTCAGTCGAGCTTGTACCTCCTGACTGCTGTGTCACCCAAGCCATCCCTTGATCCTCAATCTATGCCCTTGCCATTCATTACCGTCCAGTCCATGAGCGTCTCTGTACTAGTAGTCGCTTCGCTCTCGTTTCTTTCCCATTCCCGTATTATTCATTCATCATGTTATCATTCCTCAATTGATGCAAGTCGTCAAAGCTCATTGAGGAGTCGGGTATCGTGAGTCGTGCCGTCATGCCATGCATTTCCACTGACTCTGCAAAAGTCTTGTTCGTCGCTTGAAAACCAAGATCAGGCTGGAAGCATTGAGCGGTTACTCGAAAGACTCCCAGGTGCAGCAGAGGAGGCCGGAGATCTCCTTGGTGGCGAGTTGAGCGCAGTCGTTCTTGTGGCCCTTCTCCTTCCACGCGCGGACCTGGCACTCCTGCAAACCATTAGTCAAAGATGAGAGAAAGTCTTGTGTGAGAACAACATACCCGGTTGCAGTAGAACATCATATTGCATTTGGAGCAATGGGACTTCAGCTCCTCGGACAGCTTGTCACAGCCTTGGCACTTCTTGTTGCCATCATCGTCCTCCACAGCGTACTTCTTGGCAATGTCGCTGAGCTCCAGGAGACGAACAAGGTTCATGTTGAAAATCTGTAAAAGTCAGCTATGAATATGTGAGTAAAGTACATGAGGCATACCTTGGTCATGGCAGCACGACGCTGGACGATGCCTTGGGTCACTTCTCCCGGCATCATGCGACGCTCAGCACTAATGATTGCGAAGGCATTTCCAATGCGAAGGGATGGGATGCCCAGCTCGATTCCATGGTTGGGAGTCTGGAAAATGACAGGGAAAGTAGTGCCGATCTTGTCCTTGACGATGAGCTTGAGGCGGTCGGTGATGTCGACGCTGACAATCTCGCCGAGGAGGGCCCAGAACTTGAGGGCAGTGATGGTGTTGCTGGTCCCGTTGAAGTGCCAGTACCTGGGATCGAGCTCGTTAACGGCGGGAATCTGGCCGAAGAGGGGGAAGAGCTTGATGTCGGAGAAGTCGCCGAGAATGGGACGGAGATTGGACTTGGTCCAGAGGAAGGCGTCGTCGGAGATGCGCCAGAGCCACTTCTCAAACTCGGTGTCGTTCATGTCGGTCGGGATGTCCTGGGGTTTGCTCTTCCAGTCATCGGTGATGCCAAAGTCCTTGTAGTTGGCGGGGTTTTTGGCGAACTTGGCCAACTTCTTGACATTGACGCTGTCGGGGCCTTCGAGAACGAGTCGTGTCTCGTACGCCTTCTGGGCGAAGATGTTGGCACGTGCCTGGTCGCTGTTGAAGATGCAAGTCATGGCGGCCTCGCGAAGTGCATCTGAGATGATGGTGTTGGACATGCCCGCGGCTTCGGCGACTTCGATGAGTTCGCGTGAGTGTCGTAGGGCGAGGTTGCCGTCTTCGAGCTTGATTTCATCAATCCTGCCGCTGTCGAAGACGTCGAGATGTTTGCGGAGGACGCAGAGAAGGTTGTCGCGCTGACGGCGAGCGGGGAGGGGGGCGACACAGACTGCACACTTGCAGATGAATCGGAAGGCAAGAGCGTGGCGGTGCTGTCGGTTGGCCTGTGTCTCGACCGCGAGGTGGTAGTGGATGGTGATCTCTTCACCCTCCTTGATGTCTCGTACAGCGTGGACTGTGAGGCGGCCAATGGCCTCGTTCCAGCTGTAGTATGCATTGGGGTTGCATGAGTGGTTGAGACGGGCCGCATTGGGGAAGACCGCGTGCTGGTCGGGGTTGGTTTGGAGGAGGATCGAGCTCGTCCGCGCGATGCCCGCCTCCTTGTTCTCGAGCTTGCCGTCATCTGGGTAGATGTTGGCGAGTGTCATGTAAAGATTGTAAGAAGCGCGGTGCTTCTCCTTCAGCTTGGCCACCTTGGGCCGGACTGTGTCGATGTAATCGGCCAGGGTGCTCTCCGCCTCATTGAGGTCGAAGGTGATGAGGGCCTTGTCGCCCATAATTCGTGTGCCCTTGGGAATGGGCACGGTGGCACGGAGGCCCATTCCCTTGCCCGCGATGGGCACGAGTTCGAAGATGGTACCGTCGCTGGCCATTGCTGTGTGCTCGGACGGAAGAGAGGGGAGGGCGGATGGAGGGTTGTAGAGGGTGAAGTTGAGGTGGCTTGGGACAAGATTGGTAAGGGAAGAAGAGGAAGAAGGCCGAGAAAGCGGCCTCGTCTGATAATTAAGCGAGAAGTCTCTGTGAGGACGAGTTGTGGGGTGCCAGAGTGATTGCCTGATGCCTTTGGAGACTGAGCAAACTGAAGGGAAGGCACGCTAAGGGATGGGTGCTTTGAGGCGGAAGCACGTGATCACGTGTAGCATTCAGAAGGTGTGTGAGTTAAAGGAGAGGAAGATCAGACGGACTGTCGGATGTGGCAGCATGCAGAGTTGCCAAGGAATCGTGATGGGTGCTTTGTGGTGGGGAGATGCATAGTGCGAGCCCCTGGAGAATCCGCACGGTCACGTGATTGTCGGTCGTGTCGTGTTTGGAGGTTGTCATGGATGAAGGTGAGGAGATGAGGTTGGCAGAATGTAGAGACGGTCACGTGATGCTCAGTCGGTGTTGTGTTCGGCTGTTGTGGATGTTCACCATCGATCAGGAGGCAGGACTGGGATACGAGCCCGCCAGTCGCAGTCGTGTCGAGGCTGTTGGGGGCAGTCATCATCGAGCGGGATATCGACTTGTCGACGGAGATGCGGATGTTGAGCCCCTCATTCGGCTTTTTGCGTGAAGACAGCGTGTGGTGATGTGCCGGCGGCGTGCTGTCGGTGTCTGAGGTTGTGTCGTTGTCGGTCGGGTCACTGGTGTCGGCTGTGTCGGGCGTCGCTGTGCATGTATGTGTTCGACGATGCGCATCGGCTAGGAAATCGACTGCGGATCGACAAGGTATATGTCGCCGACTCACTGTGTCAGTCGGACGATGTGTTCCGTCTTGCTGTCGGCGACCATGGCGCGGACAGACTAGAGCTATGTCGATGCCATGGTTGTCCGTGTCGAAATCCCGTATCTACGTCGGATTTAGACCCTTCCGACGTATTAACGTGACTTCCAAATATGTTCCTTCCTTCCTAAAGCTACTTCCTTATTTTCCACGGGGAAGGAGGTCCGACTAAACCCTAAACTATCCTGTCTACGACGGAAGTAACGTCCTGAGATTTCTCACAAAAGACCACCTTGCTCGACTAATCAAGGTTGAAAACATTCAAATTCGACGATTCGACTGTGATTTTAATCAGGGTATTACTTACAACTCACGATTCAACCTTAGCGCGGGTCTAAGATGTCGGTTTCCTGCGAATTGGAAATCTTAGAGTCCCTCTAGCCGACTCGCAAGATGAACCGGCTGACAAGCATGCAAGTAGTCTAAAAGGGGTTTACTTGGTTCTCTCGATCCTTGGCAAGCTCGGTGAGTACCTTCTCTGCCGGAGGGCCTGTTTTCGCCGGTCTCAGCTCCATGCCGTCAACTTTACCTTTACCCTGAAGTTTGGGGTCGATGCCGTCAATGCCACCCGCTTACGGGTGGTGACGAAGTCAACGAGTTGCTTGGAGAGAGTAAGTCCTGGGCGTTTAACAGTGCTGATGCCGTATTAAGGTGAATCAACAAATGTGTTTACGCCTGTGTAGATGGTGGGGGTTGTCAACTCTAACGGGATCAAGTCCCTCATCGTCCAAGGTTTCGGCAATCCGAATGCCCCATGCAACTGCTGCGAGTCTCGATAGACCGTCACCACCAGCGACGGAGGGGTGTATTCGAACTGGCCCTTCTTTGATTGCGTGTCCCTTCCCGGCTACTTTGGTCTGGCCTGCGGCAACTGCATCTGGCATGAGGAGCCCGCGCTGTGCTGCCACCGAATCGCCGCCGACAACGAGCCTGCTGGCAAGCGGACCGTCAAGGCCAGCAGCGACAACGTCGCTCTGGTCAAGTCCGTCTTTTCGAGTCACGTCTCGTCCGTCCAGTCCGAGGTCGGTGAGGTACATCAGCCAACCTGTTTTGGACCTGTACCCGGTTGAAGAGCCGCACAACCAATGATCTGAGATCGGCTTAACTTTTTGAGATTAGAGTCACAGACAGTTATATGCTGTTCTTCAAGATTATCAGCTTTTGCCTGGAAGAAGACAGTCACGGGCTTCCAGGTTTGCTCTGAGGTGGTCTTTGATACACAGGAATCCTTACATAATATGCAAAAAAGCCTTGGTAAAACATGAAGCGGGTCTGGATGGCTCAGTTGGTTAGAGCGTTGGTCTCATAGTATGAGTTGCCTGGAAACAGGAAATCCAATCCAAAGGTCGTGAGTTCGAGCCTCACTCCGGACACATTCCTTTTTGCCGGTTCAGCAGACAAAAATGAAGGCTTCATTTTGACGACGTGTTGTACACCTCGCTAAAGTCACACTTGAAGTTAGCCATGGCACTCTCTTGTTCCTATCTGAGCAATGTTTGTCTCCTCGTAACATGCCTGCCTCCATGGTGTTTTCGGTATGAGCTCGGTTTCCGAGCCGTCGGCCGCGAAGGATCAACAGCCCACATGGGATGATGCCGCCCCTGGCTATCTGCGCAACTATTTCCGCAGTCGGAACGCCACCGGCTCCTGAAGAAGCATTTTAGACGTGCCGGCTCGCCTAGCGGATTCTGGGCACGCAGGCGACTTATCGACCTAAGAGCCGGCCCTGCACGCGCGAGGCCGCGAGGAAGACTCGGAGTCGGTGGCGTGATGCCGGTCTTGGCTTCCAGAGCGACTCGGAATGTGTCATGGGAAGAAACTGCAGCCGATCAGACGTTTGTCCGCGTGCCCAAAAATGTGGCTGTCCATCGGCAGAGTACTGGTCTTGAAAAGGAGGAAAGGCGACACTTGAACGCTACGAGTGGCGACTTCCAGCCACGGTCGGGAGTCCCTCGCTCGTGGCCTGATGGGCTGACCTTGAATGTGTCCTTCGATGCGGCTCGGCGAAATTTGACTGGATGTTCGAATCCATCTGATAAGATTTTGCATCGGGAGCCGGCATCGTACGTGGTTCGCGCGCCATGTGGGGGATGAGCGACGGAGGAACCACACGGTGGCATGTCGAAGCGACGGACCGTGCTGATGAGCTGCACTAGAAGTTTTCTGCCAGTACTCGTATGGGTGTTGAAGAGGTACATCAACAGAGTATAAAGACTGGTCTTCCTACCAGAGTGCGTTCGGTCCATCGCAAGCCAACTCCCAAGAGAGACCAGACTCCGACAATCCCCAACCATGGCCTCAGATCCAATCGAAGTCCGCGACAGCGGCGAGAAGGAACAGATGAAGGAGCGCTCCATCGGTGTCATTCAGTCGGACATGCTCAAGCGCGCCGGCAAGAATTGGGTTTTGGCAGCTTTTGCTGGGTGAGCTCGAACATGGTGATTACCCCTGAATCGAGCGACTCACAAGACAACAGGCTGTACCTCTTCACTCTCGTCGACGTCTTCAACAAATACTCGACCTCGACATATGCTGCGTATGCGACGAGCGCTTTCCGCACGCACTCTATGCTGAGCGCCTCCCGCGTGGTCGAGACAATCGCCATGCTGCTCTCGTATCCCATCATTGCGCGACTCTCCGACGTGAGCCGACCCCTTCCTCAACCACATTGACGACCCCTGACACGATTACCGCAGATGTTCGGCCGCTTCGAAATGTTCGCCTTTTCCGTCTTCCTCTCCGTCCTCTCCCTCATCCTTCTTGCCGCCTGCCAGAACATCCAGACCTACTTCGTGAGTCCCCTTTGCCAGCATGATGTGAGTCGCCAGCCTCTGACCACCCCTAGGTCGGTGGCCTCTTCGACGCCATCGGCAGCGTCGGCTTCGGCATCACCCAGCAAATCTTCATCTCCGACTTGACCAACCTCCGAAACCGCGCCTTCTGGCTCTCCCTCCCCGAGACGATCAGCGCCGTGCCGACCCTCTATCTCGGGACGATCGTCGCCCAAGCTTTTCTCGACCACTCAACCTGGCGATGGGGCTACGGGATGTGGGCAATCGTCACTCCCGTCGTCGCTCTCCCACTGCTCCTGACGCTCTTCATCCGCAAGCTCAAGGATCGCAAACAGTACCCGGCCGATGTACTCCGGCCTCGCGTCCTGCGGGACATCCGCGCCGACGACCCGCTTCACGTCAAAGCCTACCAGCTCCTCTGGATCGAGCTCGATGCGCCAGGTTGCTTCCTTCTCATTGCAGGTCTGGCTCTGATCTTGATCCCCGTGTCGCTCACCGGCGCGCGAAACAGCGGTGCCTGGGAAAACAACGGTGGCTTCATCGCTATGGTCGTCATCGGCGCGATCCTGTTCGTCGCTTTCGTCGTCTGGGACTACTTTTTCGCGAAGAAGCCATTCATCCCCTTCCGTCTCATCAAAGATAGGACTATCATCGCGGCTTGCACCCTCTGCATCCTGGATTTCATCCACTACTCGCTCTTCTCCGTTTTCTTCCCCAGCTACCTCCAAGTCGCTGGCCACTTTTCTCCGGGACACGCGACCAGGATCGAGTAAGTCTCTGTCGTAATGCTACTGGGCTTTCCACTAACCAAAGCAGCAACTCCCTCCGCGTATCGTTCCAGATCGTTTCGATGGTCGGCGCCATCGGAATGCGGTACACCAAGCGGGCCAAGATCTGGGTCCTCATCGGCGTGCCCCTGTGCGTGCTGGGCCAGGGCCTTCAGATCTACTTCGTCAACATAAATGGCGAGAGACCAGCAAATGAGGCCTCCTTCATCGTCGCCAAGGTCCTCGTCGGTATCGGGCGTGGCCTGTACCAGACCGCAGCGCAAGTTGCCGTGCAGGCTGTCGTCGCCCGGGACGAAGTTGCCATCGCAACCGGCGTCTTCTTCGCCAGCATGAACCTTGGAGGAGCCATCGGGACAAGGTATGACACAGTATTTGGCGGGAAATTGAGCTGTGACTGACGTCTCCCAGCATCTCCGGCGCCATCTGGCGCTCCAACCTGGTATCGAAGCTCACCGCATATCTTCCGACCGCAGCAAAGGGGCAAGCCAACGCCATTTTCGGGTCGATTGTCGTCGCGCAAAAGTACGCTGCTGGTACAGTCGAGCGTGCGGCCATCGATCAGGCTTACCGCGAGACGCAGGAACTGCTCGCCATCGCGGCTACATGCGCGCTGGCACCGATGATCATCGCAATGTGGTTCATCAAGAACGTCGATCTCACCGAGGACGAGGGTGTTGAGGAGGAGGAGCGTCGTGGGAGCCATGAGAACCAGGTCACGGATAAGGTGGTGGGCAACGGGCCTGAGAAGGTGTAATTTTGCCCGAGTGAGGACCATCATGTGTAAGTGGGAAGACTCAATACCTGCTCTCACCTAGGTTGCCAATGGCCAGTCCTCGAAAAATGTCGCTAGACCTCGGCTCACCGTGCACGCAATGATGGTGCCGTGATCCTCCTCCTCGTACACCTTCTTCGACAAGTGCTCAAATTGGCCACTCTCACTCAGTCGCTCATGCATCTCGTGCATATTCGTGATCATCCTGAGCTTGAGATACCTCTCCAGCCTCTCCTCGTACTTCTCCTCAGTCTCACCCCTACGGCGCGGCGGTCTCTCCTCCTGCCCTCCCATGAACAGCATCAGCGATGGCCTCTTGTCGAGCGTTCGCTTGCGGAACGCCTCTTCCGTGCGCAGGATACACCTGTCCTGATACCAAATGCTCGGGCTGCTGGCGATGTAGCAGTTAAAGGCCTCGGGCCGGGTGAAGAGTGTGTAGAGGGTCAGCAGTCCGCCATACGAGTGGCCGTAGAGAGCCTCTCTTCCGGGAGACGCGTTGCGGGTGTCCTTGAGACGCTGGTGAACGTGGGGCCTGACACGGCTGATGAGGAAGTCGAGGAACTCGTCGGCACCGCCCTCGGTTTCTGCGCAACCTGGCGTGGGAGGAGTGAGATCGTACGACCGGCGGCCGCTCCAAAGGCTAGGCGAGGCGGCGGGCACGGGGTAACCGATTGCCACGACGACGCCGGTCGTCATGAAGAGCTCACGGATTGCGAGGCGGCGGTGCAGCACCTCGAGGGCTGAGAGGAAGACGGAGTTGCCATCGCTCAGATACCTGGGGGCGGCGGTCAGACGAGAAGGAAAATAAGGTAAAGCGAAGGGATGCTCACACGATAGGGACCGGTTCCTCAATGGTGGGCTTATCGGGATCCGGATGTCGCCAGTCGCGAGGGAAGCCGATCTGAACGAGGTACTCCTTTCCGGTGGCGCTCTTGAGAGTCCATTCCTCGACACACTCCAGCGTCAGGTCGCTTCTCTGAGCCAGCATCTTGGCGTCTGGCGGGTGTGACATTGGCAGCGCGGTGATGTTGGTGAGGGAGTTTGCGTTGCGTGGTTCTGAGGGATCTTTTGATCCGGCAGCTCTCGGGTGAGATTTGTGGATGACGAAGAATCCTGCCGACTTCGGAGACCGAGCGGATCCCGACACGGCCTGCGCCCACGACTCGGGGGAGAGTGAGGGCATCGCGAAACCTCAATTGAGCTGTCCGATCTTATCAGATCAAATATCATTGTGGATGGCGGTGATCTCTTGCTCAATTGCCGACGCCGATCAGCCCAGATTATAGATCCTCGTTAGCCCAACTGCCTACAGTCTCAAAGACCCTGGGCCATGGACTCGGACGCGGACGGATTGCCCATTGTTTCGGCGAGAGGATTGGATTCAACTACCTAGAAGAGAGTAACAATCTGTTTTGGGTCGCCCGTAGTAGAGTAGGAAAGGTAAAAGCAAGCTGACCATCACTGTGGGGAATGAGCCTTCAAGAACTTGATGATCTCGGTCGCCATCTGCTCCAGTCCCGGGTCCTCCAGCGGATAGTGACCGGCGTTCTCCAGCTCGACGACAGTGACAGGTACCCTCGTCACACGCTTCAAGAACATCTCGCTCAGGTACAGCGGCGTCCATTTGTCCGCTGCCGGCTGCGTCAGTAAGATGGGGCAGACGTCGAATTCCTCGGGCTCAAGGGCGGGTTGGTGCGCGGCATAGGTGGCCAGGAAGTGCATTGATGCGCTCGAGCCAGCGGACGACTTATCGTTCATGAACACGGCCAAAGCGCCCTCGTTGTTCACGAGCGTCGACATCCGGCTCGCCATGGACATGGGGATCTTGACGTTGTTGAGGGGCGTCTTATCCGCGACCTTGGAGAATGCGCGACCGACTCGGCTCATCAAAAGGTTGGCGGACGTCTCGTCTGCGACCTTCTGGATGCGCTGGTCGAGGAAGGTCATGCCGATGATGCCCTTGACCTTCTTGTTGAGGGCGGCGGCATGGTAAGCCAACATGCCGCCGGCGCTCAGGCCGT